ATGTGTGATTACCTAGTCATAGCTTACACCGGTAGTTGGAGTGAGATGTTTCTCACTCCCTTTTCTTTTTGTAGTTTGTTTTGGTATGGTTATTTGTGAGACTACTTATGAAAAAGATGTGGTTAGAGATAAGGTTTAGACCAAGCTTATGCTAGGAGTGCTCTAATAGGATGTGACATCGAGGAAGTAAATAGGGATTTTACATTTTTAGTTAATTGTTAAGTTAGGATTTAATTCTATTAGTTGATTTGATGTTAGGTTTTAAATTCTAAATTCCTTGTAATTACTCTTGAACAAAGTTTTGCTAATTGTTTAATTTTGGTTATAATGTGATACTTCTACCCTTTGATGGTTTCAATTTATTCAGTAAAAATATTTGAAGAAATCTTTAATATAAATTATTGAATTCTATGCTATACAATGGTATATGGGGTAGAAGGTGTCACAGTAAAGATCGAGGTTGTGTTGGTACAACTAGTGAATGTTTTGCACTTTAGACAAAAACTTGTCTTTTGATTAATTGAGTAACCAAAAATTGGACTTTTGTCCTATTATTCTTCATCTTTTTTATCTTATGCTATGATCTTTTTGAAAATCAAATATAAGACAACTATATTTATCCTATCCCATACCATATTTTTTAATGAATCAACCAGACCCTAAGAGATGAAGGAAATACATCTGATTAAACTTCATTTCTTCTTATAATTCACAAATATTAAGTAAGTAGAAATGGTCTTGTTTAATTTGTTAAGTAGGTGAAACTTTGTAAATTCTTTAATTAACTTCAACTTTCATGAATAAAAAAACCTAAATAAGTAGAAATGAGTGATAAAAAGTATATAAAATCTTCATCTAGAGTCTTTCATCCCAAAATGTGAAGAAAAGAGGAAAAGAACAATGATTTTATTTATCAAATGATTAAAATATTCTTATTTTAAAATACTACTTTTTTTTTTCTATTTCTCACCTAATTTATGTAAAAATAAATAATTTCTCCCCTAATACAATTTTAAATCAAATACCAATTTTTCTCTCACATGTATTAACTCAAAGTAGTATAGTTAAAAATTTACATAAAAATAAATAATTTAAACAATTACTATTCTACCCGTTTCTCTCTCTTTACATATAATATTTTATTTTACTTTTAATAAAAATTAATATCATAATTGATTGTGCAAGTTGGCATAATCGGTTATGCTAGTTAATATAATTGTACTGCCCAACTTAGGCCTTGCATGATCGAGCCAAGTTGACATGGCTAGCTCACTCACAATGGGCTTTTAGGCTAGGTTCATGAAGCAAACACCAAACAAAACCCTAGGCAATTATCAATTAGCAATTACATCTTGCCAATCATCTCCTAAGATCTCAAGGACATAATAAATCAAATATTATATCTCTACATAATTGATAAGGGAATCAAATATCCTATCTCTACGTAATTAATAAGGGAATGACCTTATAATCTGAGCAATCAATTTACAAAATATATAAGGGGTACCATGTATATTTTATAAGATTAATCATGCACCTATATAAGAGGTACCATGTATCATTTTAATTTATCTCAGACTCTATAACCTTCGGCCCCTTCTAACTTGAGTGTCAAAGTCTCTTTATCATGCCCTTATAGCTGGACCGCTAGTGTTGGAGAGCAAAGGTCATCATCGTCAAAGCACTACACTTTCAAGTAATAACAATAACCAATATTATGTAATGATATGTATTCAGGTTACACTCATTTAGTAGCCATACAATCGATTATAACAAATTCTATAATAGATTATGTGGCTTTTCTACTCTTCTAACATGCCACATAATGAATTAGGATGTTATTGTAGTTGATTATGATGAACTCAAATACAAAAATAACATATAATATGGCAACATATAATAGATTATGATCACACCATAATGGATTACGATGACCTCCAGTATATAAATAACATTCACATAATGGATTATGAATCCAACATAATTGATTATAGTCACCTTTAATACACAAATAACATATAACATGTTACCATAATGGATTATGATCCTATCACAATTGATTATGGTGACTATTAGTATACAAACAACATAACCAACAATAAATCAACTTCAAGGATCTTACCTCAATAACTAGAAGGTTGGGTGAGAAAGAAAATAGCTTCATGTGCAAACGTAGATGGAGAACTCAATTAGATGGAAGGAAGCACGATAATCATAGGAGTTAGAATGGGAAGAACTCACAAGACAAATAGGTTGAGAAAGAGAGTCCTAAGTAGCACATAAGTGTTTTATATCTCTAGGGTATTTTGTCATCAAAATTTGAAGAGTGTTATTCTTGCTTAAATCCTTGTAATTCAAAGGGTAAAACAGTTGATATGAGATCCATATTTAAATATCTTGTTAATTTCACATAAATTAATTCTACATTAAGAATTTTTTTTCTAAAATTATCTCACTTTCCTCTCCTCCTCTCAAATCCACATTTTTCTCCTTTCCTTAAAAGTTATTTAAAATATATATTTTTTGTTCTCACCCTTCATTTTTTAAATCCAATAATCAAAGATGAATTATTCATTAGAATCATTAGATTAAAAAAATAATAAATAGTAAAAATATAGAACAACTCTTAAAGTTTTTCACCAACTTATGTGAGAGAGTGCTTCACTTTCCAAAATAGAATAATACAATACCTTAAGAAACAAATACATAATCAATCCTATAAACTTTCTTTATTTTTTTATAAGACTCAAATCAAAAGTGATGTTTGGTTATTTTTTATTATAAAAATCAATCTAAAATATCTCTTGTATTATTTTTTTAAAAAAAATATGTTTAATTGAAGTTATTTTTCTATTCAATTAGTAGTTGATAGAATTAAAGCGTCATATTAATGTTATGAGTACTTTTAAGTATATATAAATTTAGAAAAATAATATTATTAGTTAAATTAATCAAAATTTTAATTATTGTAAATTAAGTAATTAAATTTTATAAAAAATTAAAAAGAGTATCCTGAGTTTCACTGAATAAGATTGTTTGTTTAATAGGTATAATTTCTGAAAGAACTTAATCCATCATTGTATCTAATCATGCACATTGTTCTCCGATAATATTTTCACGTGACCGTGTAATAACTTTTTTTCATTACCATATAGAAAGTGAACTTTGATGGGACACCTTTTTTCTGTTTAGGGTAGGCTTGTGAATGGATACACGACATTGACACATGGCAAAGATATTGACAGTGGTTTTGGCTACTGATTTCTGCAAAGTATGAATGAGGTTTCCAAAGGGAAAGTACTCTGCACAATGGCTTTTCAAGCATGAATAATAGACACACATATTTTTTCTTTAAATATATTTTTATTTTTTAAATATTTAAAGATTAAATTACCATTTTTATTTAACTGTTTAACATATCTTATAAATATTTAAAAAAAAAAAGGTAAATACTATTTTTTTTTTACAAGTATGAGGCACATTCTCGAATTCATAATTTTTTGTTTCTATTTTTGAAATTATAAAGAACACTTTAATATATAAATATTTAAAATTTATTAAATTTAAATAATGTGAGATTTCTTTTAAAATATGCAACAAAAACAATGCATGAACTCATTGGATTGTGTTTAAATTTACTTATTTTTGTCTCGATATATATATATATATATATATATTAGAGAGTTTTGAGAGAAAATAGTTGTTAAAATATTTAGCGTAAATTTTAAAAAAATTATATATATTATGAGAAAGTGGAAGAAAAGAAAAAAAGTTGTCAAAACCTATTTTCTTTATAATAATAGTAAAAAAATATATATTGTTTTGTCACTTACCTATTATTTTTATTGGGGTAAGCAGAAAGAAGAAAAAAAAGTTATCAAATTCTATTGTTTGTTTTAAAGGACCAATAAGAATGGACCCATAAAAAATTATGTCCAAATCGTCATGAAATAAGGGGAGAAAATCTCTTTTGTTTAGTTTCTTAAGAAATTAAAAAAGATAGATAATTTTTTGTTAAGAAAATAAATGAAAAAATATAATTTAATTTTTAATTATTCTTGATATAATTTGTTTTATTTTTTCTACTTTCTCTTCCGCTCATGTAAATAAGAGAAAAAGTCATTTATTTCCTTTTTTATTTGTACTTGAGATAAATGTAAACAAACATGTAATTTCAATGAGTAAAAGAAAAAAGAAAAAAAAAAAAGCTAACATGTGCCATATAAGTAATAAATATTCTTTAATCAATGGAATTTACTTCATTAATATACATACTAAATCATTTTATTAAATCTATATTATTAGAGTAAAACTTAAATTTTAAGAATCGCATTTCCATTATTATAAATTCTGTCCTTTTATCTATTCAAACAACAACTTTTGGACACTATTTTTTTTTTTTATCATTATAATTTTTATACCTTATATTTCCTTCATTTCTTTTTTACCTGTATTACACGACATTAACCTTCTTTCAATATATAGTACAAAAAATGCACCAATTAGTAAAAAGGATTTTCAAGAATGCAATACATCCTTTTAACCAGGTTAATTTTTCTCTGTTCATTAGAGCTGAGAAAATCGAATTTCCAACTTCTTCCTTATAAGGAGCAAAAACCCTTATTACCACTCATTCCAAAACCTGAGTTGGTATCATATCTTTTCTCTTGTAACATAATCTGATAGTCCATTAAAAAATAGTAGAGGTATAATTGTATAATTGAATATCAATTTAAAATCACGTTTAATAAAAAAAATGCACATTTTAATATAAAAATAAATAAAAACTTATAAATGTAATTTGAATCAAACTGAGACACATATATCTGACTCATCACACAATGTTTCCACATAGTAGATCTAATAAACACCATTTTCAGTGTGTTGAGGGATCGGAATTTGTTTCAAGTGGCGTAGAAAATGAGGAGCTTTGACGCAGTCATAAAACACTGATTATTTTTTTCATACCAAGTCTCTTGGTTAGTAATTAAATGTCTATCCTATAACATAAAATTAACTTGACATTTTTTGTAACGACCCAAGAGGTTGACCAGGTTGGGGTGAGAAAGTATTCCTAAAAAGTATACTTCTGACTGCATTTTACAATCAAAGGAAAATTATGTTAAATAATCAGATAGCTAGGTATACTGAATTTGTGCAAAAAGTAGGATTTATCACATGGAAGGTACTCTAATTGTCTTGAAGCTTACACAAAAATATTAAATGCAATATGATAAGTAAACAGCACAACATGATAAAATGATAAACATTTAGCCAAAAAAAAAAAATGCCTAGTTATGTTTTGGTATTACTCTTTTAGTCTTTTTATTATTAATTTTTTAATATGATTCTTTAATTGTGAAAATATATGCATGTTTTCACCATAAATGTTAGGCTAAGGTCTGTTGTACATGACCTGCCACTCTAAAATCCCTTGCATGCTGCCCGGTCTCAACTCTTTTATGGCAACGACCTTTCCAAAACCTGCCCTGACAGGGGCTAGGGTCTTCTCATCCAGCCATCCCTTGTAAACAAGGCCAAAACCACCCTCACCAACCACTGTACGCCTAAAATTCTTTGTTGCAGATTTCAGCTCCGCATAACTAAACACCTTCAATTTTTCATGGATAGCTTCAATGACTTCCAATTCCTCAAGTACATCTTTCATAGAAGGACGTTTGTTAGGGTGAGGTTCTAGGCATTTTAGAGTAAGTTGTGCTGCTTGCCATGCTGCCTTGGGTGAATATTGATATTCTATCTTAGCATCCATGATGGTTTTCAATTTTCTTTTGGAGACAAGAAAAGGCTTTGCCCATTCAACTAGGTTGTGCTGGCCTGCTGGCCGATCTGTGTCAATTGCCTGCATGCCTGTCAGCATTTCTAGTAGCACTACACCAAATCCGTACACATCACTCTTCACATACAAGTGCCCTGATGAATATTGATACATTTCAAAGCCATGTTAGTTTTTGGAGTGTCAAATGATTAAACTACAGTATTATAGTAAGGCCAGCTTGGTTTAAGAAAACTGTCTGATTTCATTTCCTGTTTTTATTGATAATTACAAAAAAGTTTATATGTTGCTTTGTTTTAACTCTCCTATTTTCAGAAAGAGTGAAAACAACACAAATCTTGTTTTAACTGTTTCTTGTACAAGTATTTCAAATCAAGAAACCATATGTTGTATGGCATTTTAGTAATTATGTATGGAAACAGGAAATGAAGATGAAAAACATCTTCTCAAATCAAACAAACCTTTTGTTTTTTTGTTTACTTTGCTTCCATTTCCTTCTTACTTGCAAAGCATGTAATATTTGTAAGATAATTATGTCTTATGTGAGAAACATGTGATGTATAAATGGACTAATAAATAAATAATTAAATAATTAGGGACTAAATCATAAATGGACTTAATAAAAAAGTTTTGAGAATAATTATTATTTGATAGGAATAACAATTTTTAAGGGTTATAAATATCCACTGAAACAAGGTCCACATCTCTCACAGAAAATATTCTCTTAAACCCTAGCTATCATGGAAGATAGAGAGAGTAGAAAAAAGAGTCAAAGGGAGTAAAATCTTGATTCTCTTTTCAAGAAGATCAAAGTACTCTAGGAATCAAAGGAGATTTCCATAATAGAGAATGATGGAATCACACTAAGCCAAGAAGACCAAGAGGTCATATATTGAAGGAAGCAAGATAAATGGGTTGGTTTTGAAAATCATAAGAGGAGTGGGACTACTTTTAGGCCTTAGCTCCTAAGTTTTTATTAGTATAGGATTTATTCTTATTTTTGCCTTTGTCTTTAATTTCCTATTTTACCCTTATATTTTAGGTATCTTAGACATAAGATTTATTTTTCTTATATTTCCTATTTTACCCTTGTATTTTGGGGTGTCTTAGTCATACAATTTATTTTTACTTGTATTTCTCATTTTACCCTTGTATTATGGGAGTGTCTTAGATTATAGAATTTTATTTTATAGCTAGGGTATTTTATTAAGGTTGGAAACTAGGCCTAGACATGTTTTTTTTGTGACATTGGATTTATTTTTGGACTTGGCAAGGCTTAGGCCCAAGTAGAGGGCACTTAGGTTTCATGGTCTTATCATGCACCTAAATGTAGCTTAACCAAACCCAAAGATTTCATCCTTGGCCACCAAGTAGCATCTAAGGTTAAGTTAGGTTTCATTTGAATTGCATTTGGATTGCATTACTTGGCCATGCACTCTCAAATGTAACCCTAAATGCATCCTCCCTTCTATAAATACCCTAGGCTAGCCTCCTTGTAAATACTTTGGAAATTAATATAGAGTGAGCCTTTTGTGCCTTTATATTTTCTTTAGTCTCTCTTGGTCATTTTTGGCCAAGAACCCTACCTATCTCCACTTGAGTAAAAATCCTAGGAGTGGCCTTCATCTACCTTGGAGTGAGCCAAATCCTAGAGTACCTCTCAAGCATTCCATCAAACACCTTCTATCCTTCCTCTATTTTCGGTCACCACCACCATCCAAGGTTAGGCCTTTGAAGATGTTAGAAAAATTCTTAGAACTAGGAATCATAACAATTTGAAGAACAAGAGTGAATAGGGATACCTATATGAGAAAGGAATCCGAAGAGAGTTCTATTATTGAATGAGTTTGATACAGAAAGGTTACAAGAATACATGCAAAATCCCTCTGTCCTGCAGCTATTTAAACTCTAACTTCCTCTCCAAACAGTTTTAACAACTAACTGACTTGCTGACTCAGCAAGGATACAAGTCCCAATTTATTATTCTAAAAATTCTTCATAACAGAAGAACTATGATCCATGTTGTCTAGGAGTCCTCTCATTGATCATCCTTCTTCCATCAATGCTAGGAGGTCTTCCATCAAAGAAAGGTAGATATTACTTTTTTATTATTATGTGAGGATCATGAATTTCAAAGATGCTTTTAATTTTCTATAATTGATGTATTAGAAAATCATAAAACTTACAATATTGGCTAACATTTTGCCTTGTGAGATAATAATAAAGTCAAAACATACATTTATAGTTGATTTAATTGCCAAATATGTGCAGATATATTATTTACCTGTTGCCACAAATTCTGGAGCAGCATAACCATACGTGGTAACCCATACACTCAGAATCTCTATAGGACTAAGGTAGTGAAACCTTAGAAAGTGTAAATCATATATGTATCCTCTCTGTGAGAGTCACCCAAATACTCAAACTAACTTCGATTTTCGTTAATATTAAATAAATATTTGGCTCCAGAAAACGTAAATTAATCTTTAAATGTTAATTTTAAGATTTTGGGTGAAGTATTTTTATTAGAAATTGTTCCGGTATGCTTAAAAGTCTCACATCACTTAAGAGTCGAGACTAAGGATAATTTATAAATACCCTCCCTCCTTAACCTACTGAGGCGTTTTTTAAAGGACAAAATCGTGATGGCTCAACGAGTGCCAAAGCGGATAATACCTCGGATACAATGATTCTAATAATGACCGTGAATTTACGGTAGGAACATTTGGCGCTAGAAGGAGGACTTAGGCCACTCTTGCTCCTTAGCATCGACTGGAGAGCTTATTCCGGTATGCCTAAAAATTCTATATTGCTTAAAAGTCGAGGTTAAGGATAGTTTATAAACATCTTCCCTTCTTAACTTACCGAAGCGCCTTTTAAAGGATAAAACCGTGACGACCCAACGATACCAAAACAAATAATACCTCGAATACAATGATCTTAATAATGACAGTGAACTTAAGGTAAAAACAAAAATAAAAAAGGAATTGTCTTTTTTTCTTTTGGCCATATTAAGAGTGAAATTAAGATGCATTGAAGCAGAAAGGGACAGAAGCTACATGAAAGTCAGCTTATCCCTTTAATTACAGATATGCCTCGACATCTCAGATTCAGATTTCACAAGATTTTTGTCCCCTGCACGTGCATGTTACATTGTCTTCTATTTATATCATCACCATCAACCTTGTAAGAATTTGTTGTCACTTCACATAATAAGTACTAGCTGGTAACTCTTTTTCCTCCTTCTTTCTTCCCAATAGATTTATATACAATGCATGTCGGTTAAAGTGTGTCCCTTATTTATTGGATAGAAGGATGTATACTTGAGATATTGCCTCTTATATAATTATTGGATAGAAGAATTTCAGATGTTGGATCTCATAGAGTCGCCACAAAAAATATTAGTTTATTTTTGTAAAATTCTACTTATTGAAAAGGAGTTCTATTTTTTTTATATTAGAAATAATAATAATAATAATAATAAGATAAATTTCATATTTTATAAAAAAGTTTTTAATAATTTTTTTTATTGACAAATGTTTATAATTAGTAAATTATGTTAGTGAAAAAATTCAACCCTATAATCCTTCCATGCATCACTTTATATAATTTCTGAAAAAATGTAGATAGTAAAAGTCAATTAATGCTTAAATTTACTTAGTATTATTATAATTTTAATAATATATTCAAATGAAGTCTTATATAATAAATTAGAAAGATTGTTTAGATTGGAAAAAAAAAGGAAGTTATAAATAAATTGTTATAATCCTCTTTTATTTAATTTAGATGGAAGAAATAAGAGTGTGAAAGTTTCTACTCTCCTAATTTTTATTTTTCTTTTATAAATAATATATATATATATTAAATTATCTTATAGTGTTGTTTTTCTTTTTATTTCAAAATCTTTTCATGAATATTTATACTTATACTTTTTCTTTTTTAAATCAAATGTAATTTCAAAAAATTGGTCAAACATGTACTTTTAGATCTAACATGTCACATGTTTGAACTTATAATTTTTTTTCTCCTCACTTCTTAATTTTATTTAAAGAAAAGTTTATACTATGATAAAGCATGATTCCATATAAAAGCAAAGACAATTAGTATTTCTGGTGGAATTTCAGATCGTCTACAACATTCTTAGAACAAGTTCATATGGAAAGATATAAAATACAAGGAAAGTCGAATTCGATCCCAAGTCCTATTTAGTAAAAGTAAAGGGACTTAATCCGACAAATCGCTATACTTAATATAATATAGTACTATGCAATAGAAAAACATAAACTACTCATTTATATATACTAGGGTTATCATGTAATATCCATTTGGACATTCATATAACATATATAAGTATAGGGTACAAAGAATTCAAAATATAAGGCCCCTTAAGGAGTTATATACATACCCTATACATGTATACAATATACATCTAAATATACAAGGTGTTGAAAACATAAACCCTATCATCGATCAACATCCCTATACAAGTAACAAGCCATCCCTCTAAGTTAATCTTGCTATGTTCTCATACCAAGTATGACCATTGTAATCCAACCACGAGGAAAAGAAAGGGTGAGTTTGTGAAATAATCAACACAACATAAATATACAACTTATACATGCAACCAACTTGGCAACTTTAAGGCTAGTACATAACACAACATGAACTTATTAACTAATCAATGATAACATATAAAACAATACAACAACTTACAACACAACATGAAAACAATATCAAATTTAAACAACTAATGTGTCATCATGCATATTAACTTATAGAGATCTCCTACAATAGAGGTGGGTTATTTAAGTGATTTAACTCTATCGAATCACTATGACTAACTTATCACAACCATATCATGTAGATACAACATTAGGCCTCTCAAAGTGCTAGGTAAACAACTTAAACTGATTTATCAAGTTTTGTCACTTAGACTAGGAAAGTCTAGTACTATTATTAAGGTAAATGACTTGGTTGTGAGCCTATCACGATCATAACATGCATATCTAAGTCTTATATGGGATTAGCTCGCAGACCACCCTCCAAATAGTACATACCTTTTTCAACAATGAATTTAAGGATTTTATCCATCAATTTCATACTTTACTCAGTTAGTCACTTTAGACATGTATGGCTTGACCTAACCCCATATATTTAGAAGCTAACTTACTTATTAAAGGGTTATTATCTTGGACTGTTGGAGCACTAAAACTTACATCCACACAATGAAATATTTTAATTTTTAAAATAACATTACTTTCTTATAGTTGTTATGTATCTTACCTAAAACATGTATCATCATCAAATGTCTAACAAATTAACAACTTAATCAACAATAAACAACATACAACATTGCAACAAAATCAACTATCAACTTACATCTTAGTAACATAAACATCACTAAACATTATCCTAGATCAATGCATAATGAGCTATCATCATACAACATTAATTATGCAAATGTATCATCATTCATCAACCTTTAAAACACCAAGTTTTCATTCAGCAAATCACACTTGACATCATTTTTCCCGCATCGAATGTCAATTGTGGTAGAGAGCCTTTGGCTCATCCACCCCCGATGTCAATTCACCTACACCTAGCATGGATGAGCCAAAGAGCCTTTGAGTCAATAACGCCTGGTGTGGCTAAACTCGCACACAATCTCAATATCATTCAGGTAGATAGTTTTTCCTTGATTCATGCTTGACGTCACAACATTGGCGCTTGACATTGTCTATACATAGAGCATTTATCTTGATCACGCCTGGTGCCACTCATCTTAGGACTCAGTGTTACGTTAGAGAGCTCCTTGAGTGCTCACACATAGTGCCTATCATTCCACGTTCAATATGACTAAGTTAGAGAGCTCCTTATTAATCCACATCCGACGCTACCAATCTCATATCTAGCTTGATAAAGTCTTCAAAATATCAAAAATTTTATTTTAGTTTTTCAAATTTTAATTTTTTTAGTCTATGTAATTTTAAAAAATATTATTTTAATCACTAATATCATAACTAATAATTACAAATTGAGAAAGACTAAAATAATACTTTTCAATATTTTAGAGAGTAAAAGTATATATTTTAAATTTGAGAGACTAAAATAATATCAAACAGATTTGAATTGATGTGAATGTAGTGTGTTTTTTAGTTACAGACTAGTTTGTTTAAAATAAAAAAGTATATTTTAAATAACAATTTTTTAAGCACTAGATAAAAAAAATTCTTAAAAAAGTAGAAAATTATTTTTTAAAATAAAAGTTTAGATAAATACATAAAAATTAAAAAAAAATGCTTATTTTATTTTAAAAAAATCATTTTGTTTTGAAAGAAAATATATATAAAAATGACCTATATTTCTAGTTAACATACAATTAATATTGTTTCCCGTCATTCACCAAAAATATTCACATATTTGCTTTTAATTAATCATATTTTACAAATAAAAAAAAAAATTAATGTAGAGTTTGTTAATTGTGAAACTAAACTAATATAATTTTTATAAAATTAATTTTGAGTTTGAAATATTGGACTAATGTTAGTTTTTGAAAACTAAAATAGGTGTTATTTTTTTAAAAAACAATATCAAGCGTATTAAAACACATAAGATACTTATATGTTGAAAAAGAATTAGGCAATTCGATATTTGAAAAGAATAACATAGTGAAAATAGTTTATAATTATATAAAATATCATAACATATTTACAGAGTAAATAATAATAACATAGTGAAATAGTTGATATACATATGTATATAAATTTCAAAACTAATGAATGGAAAGTTTTGTCAAGTGTAAAGTCTAACTTTTTTTTATACACTAATTTTTTTAAAAGTTTTTTTACAGACCATTAAGACATATATCAAGTTTGGAATTTTTTATATTACTTATTGTATAATATATTTTCTATATTTCTCTCATTTTCCTTTTCACATTCCTATATTTTTGTAAATATATATTTTAACAATTTTATTAACATTATTATTTTATAAATTATATACATAATTAAAAAGGAATTTTTTTAAAAAAATATTTTTATAATTAATTTAAATAATTTTCTATTAATGTACCAAAAAAATATTTTCTAATAAATATAAAGTTTTTTATTAAATATGTTAATAATGATATTTACTATATGATTTTAATATTTATATTATAAACTCATTTAAAATAGTATGAAAATTGATATTATATTATTCTTTTATTTTAAATATATAATTATATTGGGCATTAAAATGTTATTACTATAAGTTAAAATTGAACTTAATAGTACTGTTAAGTAGGAAAGGAGATAAGTTTGGTTTTAAATAAAGGTTTATAATTTGACATGTTTAAGGTTGACCTATTTAAGTTCATATTTAGACTTTTTAAAGTCTATTTATTTTAAAATGTTAGACTTGTTATGTATGACAGGTTAATTTAACCTATATGATATAATAAAAATATATATATTACTTTATTAATATTATAAATAAATAAATAAATTTGTAATACAAAAAATTAAATTATCAATATTTTCATTTCAATTATACTTAAACGTTTTACATTCCCTGTTCATACGAAATTAAGAAATAGGAAATATATTGTTGCATTTTTTTCTTAATCTTTTCTTTCATCTTCATAATTGATTATCTAGAATATTTCAAATGAGATGAAGGGAATATTTAAAAGGTTTTTTTTTTATAAGATTATCTTCTTTTGTCACACTTATGCGTGAGTACATCGATGTGCATGAGTTGTTCCTCTTATGTTAGTTTTTTATTTT